TGAAAAGATCCCAGACCAAAAAGACCATAGATAAAGGCCAGTGCTCACATAGAAGACATTATTTGAGTTAAATCTTATTCTTTCTTTTTTTTTTACAATAAACCAAACAGAAATCTAAAAGCACACCTTTGTTTTTATTTATTTCCATACAGCTCCCACGCCTTGTACATTCTTCGTAGCTTTCTCATGTTGGGCTTCTGGATATCCTGCGGGGATAAAAAGCACCATCAAATAACAATATTTATATTTTTAATCTTCAACTGAAAAAAAGTTAGGAAGTTCTCTTACCTTCTGGTTGTTGTCCAAATGAAGGAGGTCTACGAGGGGAACGATGGACGGTCGGCCATGGGCGCACTGGAACGGCAGCTGGCACCAAGATAAGGATGCTACAAGGCTGCAGCATTCATCTCTGCTCAGAGCGTCGTTGAATTTAATGGCACCTGCTCACAGCGTACCCGTGTAAGTCAGACTCAAGGCTCACTGTCACAAAGCAAATAAACTCAGAGCGTATAACATTCATTATTTTTACCGTGACATGCGAGTGAAGCAAGCACTTTCAGAACAGTGAGAGGCAAAGTTCCTTTTACTCTGCCTGTAGAGCGAAGTAACTGAAAAAAAGAGGGATTTTATGTCTATATTTATTTTTAAAATGACACTTTCAGCACTGCTATAGGAACTTATTTACCTCAATCTGCTCTCGGAGATACTCCTGAGGTGAGAGACAGCAGAGGTTGACAGAGAGATAATAAAACTTTCACTTATCAAAACATTTGATTCGATGAACTGATGTCTTCACCTCGACAACAGGCTTGATGACAGACGGCCTCCCTCGCCGCAGCTCGTTGCTCTCTTTCTCCATGAAGCAAAGTGGAACCTTCCCAACAAACACAAGCGGAGCTGCTGTTTGGGAGAAACTAACATCTAGACCCAAACTCCTCAAATGTGGCTGACAGGATCTGCAGGAAGAGGAAGGAACAATTCAGCTTCTGTCTGGAAGGCTTTGATGGTTATAGTAGTAAATAACAAATGTTCAGATTTTATTGACAACTGGCCAATACATATTTAGCATTGTTTGAAAATTACTAACAGTGCCAGAGCCTAATTTGAATGAAACTTACAAAAATATCAGTTAGGAGTCATTACACTGGATGGGAGCACAAACTTATTTTAATAAAATATATGTGAAAAAATTTCAATTCAATTCAGTTTATTTATATAGCGCCAAGTCACAACATACGTTGTCTCAGGGCACTGTACATAAAAAGAACAATCTAAAGAAGAAACCAGCAG